CCCAGGGACCACAAAGGAGTTTGGGAATCTCAAATTACCCATCCCTGAAATCTTGTCTCTAGTTCCACCAGAAAACACAGAGGCTTGGAAATAATGCCAGTATAAGGAGAATGTGTTTCTGGGCAATTCTATGAACTCTGTATGCAAGCACTGTTGGAAGACCTTTGCCAGCACATCTTGCAGTGTGGTCGCAGTTTTGTTGTGGAATGGGAAGCATGGTGAATCAGAGGCAATCACTGGAGGCATCTAGAAGCTTTTGTACCAAGCCATTGGCACAAGCATACAGAGACAGAAGCATTTTTCCGAACTTAAAGGCACATTTTGTACCCAATTCTATTAGAAGTCTTTTCTGTGTGTCAAATGTATTTGCGGATGAAAGGTCTTGACTCTACCTGTGTCCTTAATGTCTTCATAAGGAGAGCTTACATGTGGACAGTTTCCAGTACATAGAAGTCCAAGAAACATGGTGCTGTTGCAATTTTCTGAAGAGGGTATTTGAAATGGGACTTAGCTCAGAAACCACTGATCTCTATAATTCTTTACTTCTTTGTGACAAATGTGATTCATATAATAATATACTCTTTCCAAAGTATTCAGCTAGGCTATTAAATTGTAGCTGAGGCTACAGATAAATGAGTGGGGTGGGTGGGTGTGCTTGTTTAAAAATGCAAGTTCTGCCATATGTTCCCTTGCCAAGTGGCAAGATGCATTGAGGCTACCAAGGAATAATATAGCCTGGGCAGTCCTACCTTTGTTTGATGAACTTCATAGCCAAGGTTTACTGCAAAGCAGTGCTTCCATCTCTAATAGACAGTGAAATAATTGAGAATGATATTGCTTAATTACAGCTGAATATATAAGTATTCCATTATCCATGGCACCTATGAAAGTGGCTGACAATTGGACATAATGTCTGAATCTGCATTCCCCAACACTGGTACCCGTAGGTATTTTATTCTGGGGATGGGGAAGCTTGAAATAAATGCCTTATGCAGGTCATCTGCTCTTAATACACATTTGCTCCCATTTTTGTTTTAAGCACATCTTAACATGCATGGATGCATTATTACTACAGAAGGACTTACTCACAAAGCCTTTTTGTAGTGTGTGTATATGTGTTCGTACCTGTAACCACTGAGTCTTTGTTGCAGTTCTGTGCATTTTCTTGACATATTGGATAGATTGAAAGGTCACTTGCCAACTCAAATTGCTTTAACTGTTACAGACGATCAACACACACACACAACCTCCCCCCCCCCCAGGAATCTATATTTATCTATATGATATACAAACTCAGTAGCAGTTTTTTTTTACAAACCTCCTTAATGACTGAGGTCCAAATTCCTTTTCTAATGCTATGTCAGTTTCTAATATGTCTTCCCCCTGAAGGTCCTAATGCATTGTTGGGACTAAATGAATATTAGATCAGTTTTGAGTTGAAAATCAAGCGCTACATATAAATTAATCCCCTGTTCCCAAATGAAAAAACTGAGAACAGCAGAATTATTTATTCAAGAAGTGTAGCTAAATAGAATTTTTGCTGCTACTATGGCAAATTATAAATGCTTCCTCAGTCTGCTTGATAAATGCCCAATAGTAGTTCATGGAGGCGGTTCTGATGGTAGATGTGGAATGGCAATGAACAGGCTTGGTAGGTTAGTATGATCATATATCTCTTTGTCTTACTCATATCAGCCTTCTCCAATCTGCCATCTCCAATTGTCTTGGGGCTCCAGAATTCCCAGGTACTGTAGTGGGGAGTGCTGGCTGAGGATTATGGGAGTTATAGCCACAACGTGTCTGGAGAGGGCCACAAAGGTTGATTCATGCCCCTTATGCATTCATCTATATATACTCTCTAGAATTCTCCCTACCTCAGGGAAGCTAAAGCAAATACAAATAGCCACGTGCTTAAGCTTGTCAGTGTTTGTTTTAGTGGCTCACTTGCAAGCACGCTTGCTTAAGAACATTGTCTTCCGCTGCTGAGTGATGTGGGGACTGAGCTGAATCTGCGTAGCCTGGATAGGCTCCAGGCATTTGCTTTTTCTAAGGCCAGTGGCTGTATCTGTGTCTTATGGCTGCAGCACCAAAGATTCACAGCTACCTTCTTCTCCAGCATCTGGCAATTTCCTTGGTCTAGGAGGTCACGGGACCAAAAATTAATTTAGTATATTCTTCTCCAGAATGAGGAAATGTATGGGCTTTGTGATATGTCTGCAGTGGCATTGACCAGATTATAATATGTGGGTTATTTTTTGTTGTTGTTGTTGTTTATTTCATTTTTGGGCATACCCAATTTGCATGTAGATTGCTTTCTCTGGTCTAGAGCCAAAATCTTAACCACCTTTTCTTGAGTTTTTTGCTTGAGCTGTATATTGAAAGTATACAGTAGGGCTGGTTTATGCATGTAAATATGTTAATGTAATATGTATGATGAGATAATTCAGGATTATTTTATTAACATGGAACAGTTTACTATTTAATGCATTTACAAATAATTCAGTTTGATTTAGATTTAGGATGATTAGGAAAAGCAAGTAGAAATCTTAAAGTGGAAGAATTTCTAGGAAGACTATATAGTAGTTGGAATTCAAACTGCTGCATTAGGTGCACCCACCTAGTGGGAATGGAGACTCAAGATATGAAACCTTAATTGTCTGATGCAACAGCTAAGTGACCTTAGCTGGTCCCCAAAAGCTATGCAGGGCCAAGTCTGGTTAGTCCTTGTATGGGAGAACAGCAGGAAATAACAGAGTTGTAGGCTAGACTGGGAAATCAAAAAACCCAGGAGAAGGCAGTAGTAAACCATTTCCATATTTTAACAAAAAAAACTATGCAGTATGGACATGTCCATGAAATCACCCAGGGTTGAGTTGATCTGAAGGAGGCTTTACCTTTAAAAGTTGAGAGAAGCTTTTGTTTCTTCACACATGTAACAGAAGTAGTTGTATGAGCCTTTGGCTCATGAGATGTTTTTTCTCTTATTAAGAAAAATATAATGCTAGTCAGCTTTTGATCTGTAAGCATTTTTATTAAGGTCCATTCTTCCAGACTGTTTAGAAAGATCTCCCAACTCTCTTGTCCAGTTTTTCAGGGGTAGAGAGGTGTGTAAGGGAAAGTGATAGCATCTCTCCTCCCCCAATGCTGATCCAGGGATGGAAAGAGCTCTTTTAACCATGGAAGACAGATTCAGGACCTGGCCCTATGTCTTTATTTCTCTGCTTTGGATACTAAAACATGCTTTTGTCCAACTTTGTTTACTAAAATTTTTGCTAACCTCATTTCAATTTTTTTTTTTTAAATAGCCAATCCACTACTAGAAGCATTTGGAAATGCAAAGACTGTTCGTAACAATAATAGTAGTCGTTTTGGAAAATTTGTAGAAATCCATTTCAATGAAAAGGTATTTGTACTTCTTTGTCTATTGAGGAATTTCCTTTCTTTTTCTTTTGATATGACCTCGGAAGTCACTGCCTATTTATGTGGCATTTTCTTTCTGCCCTTCTGTATGGATCACTGTATTGTTCAAGAGTTTTATACCTCACATATTGTAGTTCATTCTGGATTATAGTACGTTGTTTGTAGAGAACTATTGTTTAAAAATTCTTCAGAATTCAGTTTCAAAATTCAGAAGTCTCTAATCTAAACACAAAATTATTTTTATAATATGAACTGCAAGATGAGAACTATCATATCATCATCATCATCATCTCCAACCTCATATCTTCTAGCTACAACTAGACCACAAGTCTGAGCTAGCATGGACATTTGCTCTGAGACAAAGCCAGATATTATACAACGAAACAGATTTGGTCACCAGTGGGAAAAACAGAGATAAGACACACACACACACAAAATCTGAATTACTGTATATGCAAGATACCAATTTGCTTATACCATATGTCTATTTTTTTTTAATAAGTTAAACATAAGTTAGCATAAAACAACCTTGCTTAATCTGGTGTTCTCTAGATATGTTGGTCTATACATATCTCCCAATATTTCTGCCAACATAGGACTTTGACCATGCTGGCAGCAAATTTTGGGAACTGTCTGGTAATAACAATAAAATCATGCCAACAGATTAACCAAATTGCAGTTCTGGTCTTATGAAGTTAACACTGAACCATTTAAACATTTCATTTACTTGTAAATGTATTCAAGAAACTATATGGAATAGAACATACACATGATATAATTAAAAATCAAGTTTTTGTGATTCAAAATCACAATCTTGGTTCTTTTTTACTGTAGAATTCGGTCGTTGGTGGATTTGTGTCACATTATCTGCTGGAAAAATCCAGGATCTGTGTACAAGGCCAAGAAGAAAGGAATTACCACATATTCTATAGGCTCTGTGCTGGAGCCCCTGAAAATATAAGAGAGAAACTGTATTTAAGTTCACCAGATAATTTTAGGGTGAGTTGATCTAATGTACTATTGAAAGTTTGTTTAAACTACTTATAGTAGATTGGATTCAGATATATTTAGAGCAGGTCCATTGAAATCAATGTGATTAAAGTATTGGAAAAGACGTATTTTAAGTTTGGATCTATGAATCTGTTGTGCTGAAACTTGATTTTGGACCAAGCATGGTTAAATGATCTTGTCACATATGTGTATTCTTCTGTGCCAAGCTTGGTGTCCTCAGAGCTTTTGAACTTCAGTAGTCCCAACTATGACCACTGACCATGCTGACTCAAGCATATATATAACTGGGTTCCCAAATATCTGAAAGGCACCATATTATATATTCCAGTTTTATATTCTGGAATAGATATGTAAGGTGGCAGCTTTGAACAGTATTAGACATGTTAGAATATTATAATAAACTGATTCATCACTGGTTGCACATTCCTGCTGTTTTTGATATTGCCACAAAAATTATATTAGACTTCAGCTTTTGCTCACATTTTGCTGTGTCGCCTGGCAACCTGGTTTATTTTAACCATACTTTGTTACAATATGCTAGCTTTATACTGTAGTGTATGCTTCTCTCTTGTTTTTACAAATCATGATTAAGATTGATCAGCGTTCAGGATTTTGAGATAATGTAAAACTATGGTTAACTTGAAGCAAATTCTCTAGTCTCCTTGGGGTTGCTCAGAGGAGGATGGAGAAGTGAATCTGGAAAAAGACGGTTTTGCTTCTGTCACGTTGAAGAATACCTTATTATGACATTAAACACAACTTTTGACAATACTTCAGAATCTCAGTGTCTAGATCATAGGGAACTGGACTTCTGAAACTTTTCATGTTTTACTTCATGCTTAAAATAGTCTTTTTAAAGTAGTTTGGCACTCAGTATATTTGCAGTGAAAAGATTGCTTTTAATGGAAGTATTATTTTTTAACTATGCATTGATAAGCTTTACTCTGTTTCTGCTATACAATATCAATTTCTGTGGCTATTTGTTTTATTAATTTAGTTGTAAATAGCCCTTGCTAAACAATTTCCAGTTTCCAGATATTTGTTCCCATTAAACTTCTGAGTGCACAAAATACCTTATTTTGCTCTTCAATTTTTTATGGACCCAGTTTTGGGGCTTTGAATCATATAGGAATATTTGTGTTCACAAATTGAATATAGGATAAAATGTGAATGAGATGATCAACTAGACTTTCTGACCAGTAATATTATCTTTGTACATGATGTGTATTCCAGTTTCTAGGGTTTTTTTCCCTTATAAGTAATTTCTTCTTTTGTGTTAAAACAGTATTTAAGTCGCGGATGCACTCGCTACTTTGCTACTAAAGAAACAGATAAGCAGATTTTACAGAATCGCAAAAGTCCTGAGGTAAGACACCCATTTCATGTGTTTCTTTCTTATATTACAAGATGGAACTTAATAAGGGCAGTTGCTGGTAGTATCATGCATCTACCTAAATCTGGTTTATGCAACTTTTTTCAAATGCTAACAGCTCAGCGCTGCAAAAAATGACTGGCACTGTCAAAATGGACACCAGCAGTCTGTTCATAAGGTAGATGTGTACAGATATCCACTGCTAGGGTCAAGAAGTGTTTCAGATCCTTTTCTTAACAATTTGAACTTGATGAATATTTAACTGGATTAATTGGTGGGATTTTGTCCATGTGCTGAAATTGTAGCCAAAAGCTTGGCATCCATATTTTTCTTTTTTAAAACAAAACAAACAAAACCAGGGTCGTAATTAAAAATCCCATTGGATCGTTATATTTGTTCACATTTTTTTCCTTTTAATTGTGTTGTTATAAATCTTGATACATTATCTTATTTCGGTACAATGATATTTATATGATATGATTACAAATTCTTGACATTCTGTTATTTAGATAAGTTAGAGTAATGGAAATAAAGAAAGTAGGTATTCTATCAATATTAGCTACAGTTTAGGATATCAGTGTTATGAACATTAAAATTATTTGGCTCTTTCATGCAAAGTTAAGTATAACATTGGAAGGAAAAAATAAAATAAACATGCTGTGCATTGTATTTGTTATATAATAAAAGTTTAGGTCTTAAGCTAAATTACTTAATATTAAATCTCCACTGTATTGTTATTTGAGATACACACACACACACATACATACACACACACGAAAAGAAAAAATAAAGCAAATTTAACAAAAATTAAAATATCAAAAAGTAGAAAAAGAAAAAAAAGGGAGGAGGAAGAGAATACTAATAAAAAAAAAAGAATTCAGGGTCTAATTTAAGATCATGTGCATCTACCGTTCTACTTTTAGATCTAGAATAAAAGCACAGTAGCCCACTCTGGATCTAGACCACTGTGCATGGTCTTCCAATTTATGGGTGTGTGTGTGGTTCAGTTTTTTTTGTTATTAAATTCACACTCTCCCCATTCATAGTGGTCTTGATCTGAATTGGGCCATGCTTAGTAAAACGAGGAAAAATAAAGAAAAATCAGGTATGTCTTATATATTTAAAATTATCAGAAAGCTTGCCTGTCTGTCTGTCTGTCTGTCTATCCATCCATCCAAATTACACTTCAGTCAAAGACCCTTTTGCAAATATCTGCTTCCCACCTTAGTCATAATGATAATGAAGCAATAGCTCTATACCATTTAACTAAGAGTTTATTTGAGCAAGCATTTTGTACTCATGATGGTCAAATTAACATCAATTATGGGTGCAGCAGGGCAGGTAGAAACCAATGAACAGGATCCAGATTGAATTTTTACATACCATTGCCTATAGAGGAGAATATATATGATATTGGTAAGCCAGCCTCAGCTTGGTGAATAAAAGATACATCTTTTATATACTTGACTCAGTCGCTAAGTGAAAGGAACACCTGCATGGAGGCAAAAGAGCCTCATGTGCTATAAATTTGATGAAATTATTGTGCCAATTGAACACAACCTCTGTTTGGTAGATAGGTATCCATAGTTATTTGAGCTTTCTGTTATTCTTCTTTCCCTTCTTCTCCCTCTTTGTATCTCAGAAGATTGAGATAGCAATGGGATTGGGGAAGGGAACAGTTCTAGGTAATATTTTTCTAGGTGAAGAAAATAATTAGAACTGATTTCCAATAATGTCAGCTGTCCTTATCTTATTATTAACCTGAGAGAATTGTCCTATTTATTTCCCCTTTGTATCACATTTAATTATGCAATAGAAATGGAAATAGTCAATTAATATTTGCATTGTTTTTGTCCTTTCCTGTCAGGAAGATGAGGTGATCACTTTGTATAATCTGGGATTTTAATTAATTAAGTTAGTGTGTGGTGTGAGTTTTCTAGATGCATGTTAGCCCTTTTTTTCTCAGATTCTTAGAACAGTTTTGTTTGGGATTTTTTGGGTTTATCTGCATTCTCTTTAAGATGAACAATTATTTGAAGCATGCTCTCTCTGTGCATGTATTAGTTTGATTTTTTAGTTAGAATGTTTAGTACTTTGAGTTGATAGTAATATGTAATGTTTGAACTTAAATAGCTAAATAATCAAAACTGTTGCATATTTATAAAATATATATCTTGGTAAAGTATTGCCATCATGCTGAAATGAATGCATGGTTCTGTTTCCAAGAATCATTACTTGTAGTCTTTCAAATGTTGTGATCTCACATTTCATGGTATCCATCCATGGCCTCAAGTAAAGTGTTTTCTCTCCAAAATGATGCTTTAATGAGCCGAGCATCAAAGACTCACCACTCAATGGTAAAGCACATTATTTATATGCAGCATCTCCTGGTAGGAAAAGCACATGTCTCTGTCAGCCAGTTGAAGAGCTGAGCTAGATAAAGCTTCCTATGTTCTAATCAAATGCACTGCCTTCATTACTGTGTAAGTAAAAATTGTTTGGAGCACCTTATATGCAGGCTTGAGCAGCTGTACCCTGGATTTGTGACTCACAGCACTTGGACTGAAGATATTACATATCCAATCAGATTCAGTAGTATTATAAAGTGAAAGAATTTGCAAAACCCAACCCATTTTGATTTTGCATTAGCTCATGTTACCTCCACATATGCTAGCAGTAGATTTGCCCTCTTTCTTGAAGATTCCTTCTCCCTGAGTTTGGGACATATTTTATTCCTCACAATGCCTTTTCTTCATTCATCCTAGATCTCCTTGTTTTTCTTGTTTCTCCTCTCTTGATAGATTCCCCATCATGAATAAAAATCCTGAGATTTTAAGCAGAATTTAAAATTCTGTTCTTCATATCCTCTTCTGTTTATCTTGGCTTTGTATTAATTAGTAGAAATATGATTTCTTGTCCCTTTGTGATTACTTAGCACTGTTCTTGTTTTCAGTACCTAAAATCAGGTTCCCTGAAGGACCCTCTGCTAGATGACCATGGAGATTTTAACAGAATGTGTACTGCAATGAAGAAGATTGGGCTTAATGATGAAGAGAAGCTGGATCTCTTCCGAGTGGTAGCTGGTGTTTTACATCTGGGGAATATTGATTTTGAAGAAGCTGGCAGCACATCTGGTTAGACTGTTTTGCTGACTTGATGGCACATAATCAATCAATGTTACTCTTTGTATTTCACTGAAAGAGCAATCCTGAAAGTAGAAATTGTTGCCACTTAATTTTGAAATTAAGAGTTTATTTCCTAGCAAAGATTTTTAAAAAGTTAATTTGAAAATAATTTTTTTAAGTATTTTTAAATAACACATACTGATTATCATACTTGCTAAGATAACTTAGCACAGTTCTTTCTCCTAAGCTGGAAGAAAGTGCATGCAGAAGGGCCAAAACTAATTTTTAATTCCTTGAAAAAATTAAGACAAGTAAAATACAGCTACTGTAATAGATTAAAAGCAAGGTCCAGTATGGTGCCTGGATGAATATTGTCATTCATTCAATTGATCATTCACCCTGTACTAAAAGTACCAAGGCAATATACAAAGCAAAGCCAAATTAAACTGCAATTACTATAGAAGAAATTAAGAAGCAACAGACAAGGTAATTGTAATGCATACATGCACATACATGTGTAGTGGTATAAGAATATAGTAAGTAAATGTAGGAAATAATACCTCAACATCATATGGAATCCAGAGTTAAGTTTATTCCCCATTTTGTTACATGCAGGATACAGGGTTGGTTGAGGAAAAATGGCCTGTAAATGGTATGTCTGTGGCTTGTTTTACTTCTTATTGTTTTAGCCCAAACTCATACTTTAAGGTGCCAAGTGAAACAAAGGAGAGCATGCTGAATTGGACAAGTATCATGACAATGTGGCAGGCCAAAGTGAATGTATGTTTGCAAAGTGAACAAATTGAAAGAAACACAGTGGGATCCAAACAGGATCAATTAATATCATCTATCAAGGGTACACTAATTACTTATTTGAAACCGTCCTTGATTTTTTTAAAATGTATTCTGCTGTTCAAGGGGAACAGGCTCAAATAATATTGAGGTGATGTAAAATTTGCATGACCCCTTGTGCATAGTGCCTCATGCTGTTATGACAGAATTGCTTTTAAATTGAATTCTACATTATACCTTGCTCTTCCTGAGAAGTTTATAATAAAGCTTATATGTGGATTCTGGGGAGAGGTTTTTCTTATTACCTGCTCCTTTCTTAACTGACAGTCCAGGAACTGAACCTAGCAGCCACACAAAACACTCAACAACTTTTCCTTTGTGACTACCACCTTTTGTTTCCCGTGGCAGAACTCCCTGCTATAATGTAGTCAGTGAATGCTAGCTGTACTTCTTTTCACTGGCTTGAATGCCAGTGTTGAGGGTATCCATTAATTCAGTTCTCTTTGTATATTTTCTTAACAATTGGAATATTCAGACAATTTAAAAATGATGGTTGATCTGTGATAAAATCGGTCTAGAAATCGGTGTTCGTCTTGTTTATCTGTGCTTTTCTAAATAGTTTGTGCCACTTGATAAAAGCTAGAACCCCTCCCCCTTTTTTTAAAATATAACTAGCTGATTGTTTCTGGTTGCTCATTCTAATTAAACACTTTGAAGTGCATATTAGTAAACTTTTTTTTTCTTTTTTGGTCAGGCGGATGCACACTGAAAAATAAATCTGCCCAGTCCCTGGAATACTGTGCTAAGCTACTTGGCTTGGACCAGGATGATCTCCGTGTTAGCTTAACTACCAGAGTCATGCTGACAACAGCAGGGGGCACCAAAGGGACAGTTATCAAGTAAGTTGCAAGCAAGAGAACAACAGAAAGCAACTCTTTCTCACTATCCTCACCAGGTTTGCTATGATTTTTGCAACTCAGGTTGTAAGTACCTGTAAAATATCTTCTTTGAGCTATTTTGGAATTATGGAGGGTGTAAAAGAAGAGTAAGAGTAATACGGTAAGGTAAATGGTGTTTTCCTTAGAGTAACATAATATCTGTCACTATCCCAAATGTTTCCTTTCATCCCAGTGCATGAGGGAAAAATGTATTTTGCATAATAACAGTAAGGATTTCTTTTTTACCTGTTAATACTAAGCTGTCAAGTATTAATAGAAGTGAAAATGCCTTACAATGGATCTCAGCACAGCTTGAGTCCATATCTATGTTGCAATCATAGTTTAAAAGCAAAGAACAAGTGTGATGTTTAAGTTAAAGGTACAGTCTGCATGGCTCCTTGGAATGTTTTTGCAAATAACTTGTAAGCGTGCAAATAACCAACAGTCCTATGCTGTTGTCATGCTACCTGAATGGTGGTCAGCCCTTCGTGGATCACATGGAAAGACTTCATCTCATCAGTGATAATTTTGTGAGAGAATCTTATATCCCTTTAAACAAACACAATTTGGTTTGTGGTGTTTCAGTGCATCTTCCCAATTTCTTTTATGGCCTTCATGTTCTACTTTGTTACCTCTTGCTACAAAATAATTGCATCCGTGTCTTCCAAAACTAACTTGTTCTAGCTTTTGTTGTTTTGTTTAGAGTTTAGCTGCTTGCAAAGCAAAGCACTGCACTTCTGAAAAGCACGTGTTTGCTGCTAAATTTGAGAGCAAAATCTTTGGGGCGTTGGGAGCCACACAAGGCCAGCGGGCTGCCTTTTCTTCCTGTAGAATACCAAATGGAATCCAGTTTTACAAAAGCAGACTTGTCTTTGTGAGAAAATGTTGAGAAGGAAGAGGGGCTGCAAGGAGGAGTGAGAATTATCCTGGGTCTGTTTCACTCACAGAAGCTGCTTACAGAATTCTGCCCGTAATGAGGAAGGAACAGGCTCTGCAGAAAGATCTAAATATTGACAGAATATATGTCTAGACATGACTGAGAATCAGGAGTGAATGTATCTGCACAATGTTGCATTCCTTTAACAGTGACCCATGTTTGAAGTGTCCATATTTCTTGATATAAGTTCTGAGTATATCTTTAGCTACCAGTCATAGTTAACAAACTTGTAAAAATGAATTTCAAAGCCTAAAAGAAACAACCCTAAGTCATATGCTCTCTCTAAATTGCACTTCCCATAACTGGAAATCTTAAATTTTACTTTATTATGCATGCCAATAAACGCGAAATAGAAATTTCTGTTGTATTTACCTCATGCTAAGATTTATTTTTAAAAATCTTATTTCACTCTTTTCAAAACAGCCCACAGTTTAAAACCTACTCAGCAAGTAGGTTGGAAGCAATGGTATTGAAACCTGAGTTAGATTGAATTGAACCTAGTTTTACATTCCATACTGCTGAACATTGTAAGATTAGCATACCATATCGAGAAGAGTGTGTTTTTCTGTAACATACAAATATTTAATTGAATGGTTGCACTCACTTTCAAGTAGCTCCACTGTAGTTTTTATAGAACAGATATCTATAGTTGTTCCTTAACTGCAGATATCAATAAATCTTCTGTTTTTTAACTACCTAAATATTTCTTCAGTTTTAAATTTTATTTACTATTTAATCTAAAATTAAGGTGTGTCAAATGCCTTATATAAAAGACTGGCCATTGACATGAACTTTGAGGATTACAGCGCTGAGCTTTTAAATGCACCAGAAGGGGTATATAAAAGAACCTTCCCTCTATTTTTAAAATAAGATTCTGTCAGTGCCTATTACCGTAAGATAAATCAAGAGATTATGCATTAAAGCTGTTTGTACTCTAATGAAATGTAGTTGCAGCCATTTCCTAGTAATGAGAGCTCTCAGTTCCATGACATATTATTTTCAGTAATGGGGATGGGGATTTTGGTTCAGTGTATCATGTTACTATTTCACAGTAAGTTTCTTTTAAATAAATTCATCAAGTTAGAGAAGACAGGCTGCCTTTTGCTCTTCGTGCTGGCAGCTGCCCTGCAAGCCCTCTGCACTTCTTCTCTGTGCTGACCCAGGGAACAGCACGCACGGGGTTGATGGCAGCTTTCCTCCGTCAGTTCAAATAGGATTGTGCTTTTCAGTAAGTAGGGCTTAAGGTGACAGAAACAGTTCAGATTCACAGGGCCAGAACTCCATTCTTCTCATTGATTCATCGTGAAATGGGGGAAGGGCAGAGAAAATCAGTGTCTGGAGCTGATAGCTGTGGTTATTTTTCAGTATGAGAGGACTTTGTGTTTTGTTGTACTTTTGGTTTAGGGCATACACATGCTAAAAGTAAGGCTCAGCTGAATGCACTCTCACCAAAAAGTATTCTTTCCTTATGATTAACTTTTCAAAAAAAGGGATAGATCTTCAACACTGAAGATTTATTCCCCCCCCCATTTTTTGTTGGAGTCAGCTATTGCAGAGAGAACGAAAGCAACTCCATTACATAGATTGGAGCAACTTGACTGGCTTCTCTAGTTTCTGGGATTTAGGAAGCAGCAATGCCTTTTCTGAACCTTTTGTAGCCCTGATTCCCTGTCCTTTGGGTGTCATTCTTTCTCTTAGAGAGTCCTGCTCCCCACGGTAGAGGTGACTTTAACTTTAACGTATGGCCCAATGAAGCTAATTCAGAGAAGAGCGGTATAAACTGGATAGGCACTGACTTAGCTTAATTTGACCTCATTGGTATTGTTGCATAGTCAAGCCTGAATTGCTGTATAATGTGCTCATCAAAAAGAATATAAATGTAAAAACAATGAATGTGGTTAAGTAGCCAGTCAGAATTGAAACTACAAGTGAACTAATCTCTAGCAGTAACCTTTTATGGGTCTCCTGGAAGCATTCTGGAGCCCTTTTAAAGTCCTTTTGGAAATATTATCTAGGAAACATTTACCTCAGTCTTCAATGAAAGACATTTGGAAAGTGTATCTTTCTAGCTTCTTCTTCTTCTTCTTTCAAGTTGCTCCTCTGGATTCAGTGTTTCAGCACAATCTTTTCTACTTCTTTTTTATATTGTCCCAATGCTGCTGATTCCATCTTTTTCTCTCTATACAACTTTTCCCTTATTTGTCAGATGTAGATTGAAATCCTTTTAAGGTTATGCATTCCAAAATTTCTGCCTTGTCAATGATGTCTTAATGTCACACACTTTTGCATGCATATGATCTGTTTTAAAGACTTTTTAAAAAAAAAATCCATGTTTCATCTTATTTGTTTCACAAGAAAGGATTTTTAAAAAATAAATGGCACTGAAAAATAAATGATCCTGAAAATAAATAAATGATACTTTTAAATAAATGGCACTGAAATAATATTTCATTTTTAAATATAATTTTATTAAAGATTTTTTAAAAAAATATACAAACCAACACAAACTAATATAAAGTAAGAAAAAGAAATCAATTGGAAGTAGCTTCCAATTTTCTTTACAGCAGTTATAAATACAGTTATAAGTTTACCTCTTACTCTATGGTTACAACATATCTCTATTCTGTTTAATTATCAAAACCATAAATCATAAGTTCATTTTTTTCTGTTTCATGCAAAAAGT